AACACTTTCATTAGGTAGTGGTTAAGGTGGATATGATCTAGATTTAGCCCCATCTGTTACTTATTAACTCAATGACTTTGGATATAGAGTTTCCTTGTCCATAAAATAGAAGTCAGTGGGACTGAGAGGATCCCATAAAAATCTCTAAACTGAGAGGCATTTTCTCTTAGTGTGTACTCTACTGTCAGTATCTATTCATATCAATCATCTTATGTCAAATCCAAAGGAACCCCCCATCCCAAGCTGCTTCTGATGGTGTTCAACTTTAGAACCTTATAGGACTACTTAATAACCATCCATCTCAGACCCCTTATATGGAAGCATGAAATAAAGGCCTCAACCTAAAAGAGACCCCATGGCCTCTCCCAGATATACCCTCTGGTGTACTCAGTTTGGACAATCCAACAACAACAACAAGAAAAGTGTCCATTGCAATAAGCTTTATTGAGTGCTAGCTGTATACATCAAGGAGCTCTGGTAGTGCAGTGGTTACGAGTCAGGCTGCCAAACGCAAGGTCAGCACTTGGAAACTACCAGCAGTTCCATGGGAGAAAGATGAGGCATTCTGCTTCTGTAAAGATTTACAGCCTTGGAAACCCTGTACAGGGTCACTATGAGTCAGAACCGACTCCACAGTACTTAACAACAACAACAGCTGTATACATCAGGAGAGACCTCATGGAAAAGGACTTATGTTTGGTATCATAGAGGGCCGATGAAGATGCGGGAAAAACTCAGTGAGATGATTTGATGCTATGGTCAAAACAAAGGACTCACATATACCAGTGATCTTGATGGTGTGGGACTGGGCAACATTTTATTCAGCTACACCCAGGGTCACCAGGAATCCAAGTTGACAACTAACAACAGCATCAAGCTGTGTGCCTAGTGGCTACTTAGTGAATTAGCCTGAACCACCTTCCCATTGTCTTCCTAGACGGGAAGCCTGGTGGCACAGTGTGTAAGCACTCGGCTGATAACCAGGAGGTTGACAACTCGAACCCTCCAGCTGCTCTCTGGGAGAATGATGATCCAGTCTGCTTCTGTCTAGATGACAGCCTTGGAAACCCTCTGGGGTAGTTCCACTCTGTCCTGTGGGGTGACACTGTGAGTCACAAACAACTCCATGACAATGGGTCTGGTTTGGGTTTGGTTTTGTTTTTCCTCCTAGAAAGTGACTCTTTGATTCTTAACCTAATCTCTCCTTTGCCAAGCCTTCCCAGCCCCCTCCCATTGGAGGGACATGCTCTCTGGGCATCCCTTACTGTGCTCTACTGCACTCTATAGTCGGGTGGCATGATGCTATGTGTCCCCAGTAGCCTGGGAACCCCCTAGGTGTGGGCCCTGGACACACTAGATGTGAATCTGTAGTTGTTTCTAGAGCTGGGTGAGAAAGACTGGTGAGACACGGAGTAAAAGCTTGAGCATCAAAAATCAAAAGGAACAGACAGAGGAGGAAAAATCTCCAGAGAATGTGAGTCAAAGGCCTACGAGACTGTGACCTTTTGGTCTCACAAGTGTGTGGCCTTTCTCATTCTCTTCTCACTTTGCATCTTGGCAAAAATAAGGATTTGGGAAAAGCTGTTTTGTGTTTGCTTTTTTCTAGAAATCAACCTATAGTTGGTTCCATGACTAAATATAAATTAAAATCAACATTATTCTTTTCATGTTATCTTTCTTTTTCTTTAAAAAAACAAAACAAAACTTTTTATCGTGAATTGAGTGAAGGTTTACAGAGAAGATCATCAGTTTTATATCCAACAAGTCACTTACTTCATGTCGTTACAATGACTGCAATCCCCTCTTTGTACCATCAGTTAATAGTGTTTACCTATAATCACTGTGGAGTCCTGGTGTGGTGCTGTGGGCTAATGCGTCAGACTGCAAAGTCGTTTAAACTGCAAGGTTGGTGGTTCAAGCTCACCAGCTACTCCTTGGAAACCCTATACAGGGTCACTATGGGTTGGAATTGACTTGGACTCAACGGCACTTAACAACAACCTATATTCAGGGGCTCTGGTAGCGTAGTGGTTACAAATCGGGCTGCGAACCTTAAAGCCAGCAGTTCGAAACTACCAGCTGTTCTGTGGGAGGAAGATGAGGTGTTCTGCTCCCATAAAGATTTACAGCCTCAAAAACCCTATACAGGGTCACTATGAGTCGGTTCCAACTCCACAGCACATCACCACCACCACCATATTCATTTTAGCGCTTATATTCATCTCTCTCTTCCTCTCATGTTCTCTCTCATGACTATTTTATTTGATAACTAATATAATCACAATCGAGAAAGTTGAAAAATTAGAGAAGGAAAACATCCAAGTATCCTAATCCAAACATTTCAAAACGGTTTCCTTCTAGTTTTTTTTTTTTGGTTGGTTGGTTTCCTATGCATTTGGCATGGTCACATGATTGCTCCAGCCCTTAGTCCAAGCAGGTTTCCATGTTCTGTCACATAGTCCTGTGGTTGGCATTTTCAGTGGTTACACATTGATACACCCAGTGGATATATTGTAGCTTATAACCACGTTGGGTACTCTTGATATTTCTTTATTTTACATAAAAAGATTGTGTTGAACAACCTTAGGAATATGCCACTTTGGTTTGCACTTACTCTTTTTCTATATTTTAGATGATATCTTTATGAGAAATTTCCAGTCGGTTAAGGAATGATTTCTGGATTTTGATGTCCAGCCACCAGATTACTTCCCCTATACCTGCTACATACTGCCCCCACACCCCAAAACATCTGTGCACCATTTTATAATCATAAACTTGAAACAAAGATTGGTCAAGTCAGGCTTACTTCTTATTTATTGAACTCTGACCTAAGTGAAGGGAACTTGATAGGAGACACACGATCGGCAGTTGCAAACTTACCCGCTGCTCCAAGGGGAAAGACGAGACAACCCACTCCCATCAAGATTGGCAGTCTCGAAAACCCTATGAGGCGGTTCTACTCTGTCTTGTAGGCCTACTATGAGTAGAATGGACATGATGGATTGGGCTGGAATTTGGAGTTTCAGTCTAACAAGTTCATTTAAAATGTTTCCATTAATACAAAGGTCTTGAAACCATGTGTAGAATTGCCTCCAACTCATACCGGCCTTCCTGTGACTGACAAAAATGACCTCTGACATGCTAAGCTTTCTAATTATGAAGCGTTTCATTGAGGGATCACTCATTGGACTTGAATTACCTAATTGGTTACCTAATTGTAAGTCATGTTACACACCTTTAAACACAGTTCAGTACATCTTAATGGCTGCTGCGGTCAGTCTCACGTTGACTTGGGTGTGTATTTTGTGAACATTTACGCATGCCTTCATCTTCACAAACAGACTATGAAGAACAGAGATGAGGCCAGCAAGCAGGAGAAGCTTCCTGTCATCTCTCAGCAACACGGAGGCTCCTCTGGCTTTATCTTAAGCCTTAACATTCCTGTTTAGGAACTTTTGAAGCACTCCTTCCTGAATTGATTTTCCCAGAAATATTTAATCTCCAGGGAAACATGACCCATCAGTGTCAACCATGATATTGCTTTTATTTCGTTAACATGCTCAACTGTTCTGTCTATCTTCATTCAAATGGGGAAACACACACACACACAGAGCAAATGTAGCCTGGAATTATTAAGAAATCAGGAGCATGCTTGTCACTGGGCAGAGAACAGACAATCTGCTATGTTGTCATAGCTCATCCCTGGCCCCCGGAGCACTCGCAGACTCTAGCGGAAAAGAGAAGAACCCAGCCAGTCTTCCAGATTCTGGTGATGCCAGATGTTCCCGGAGATCAACACCCCATGATTAACTGAATCTTCCACCTTCGAACTACTTTTTTGTTTTGTTTTTCTTACAAAAGGAAGCTTGATTTTCTACAGTTTTCCAAAAGCGCCAACAAGCATCAACCTGCATTTCGTTTCAAGACAGAGTTTTGTTAAGGGGTTAAAAGTAAATGGCAAAATACCAGAAGTCACCTTAGAATCTGTCCCTCCAGGAACTATTGAAACACCCTGCTTGGCCTCCATCCACATTCTCGTCTGCCTTCTTCCCAGTGGTACCCCTGGGCTGACCTTCTGACCAATAATTCCACAGGCAATACCCTTGGCTTGGCAGCATTATTGGAGTTAGGATAAAGTTAGGATATTGCCTGGTTAACCTAATTAGTCTATAGACACTTCAACTCCTTAGAACCAAGCAAACCAGTTTTTCCACTCAAAGGAATTGAATCCAGTTTCATGCTTGCAGATAAAAAGACACAAAAGAAGGGGAAACCTGGCAGCCCAGTGAACAAGCAGCTAGATTTCAGAAGCACCGGCCGGCTTGATCCAGTTAAGAAACATTGTAAGCTCAATGAAAGACTGGAAGAGTAAGGGCTCAGATGGGATATCACCAGACTCTCCTCACCAGAGGAGCAAACAGCAGTTTCCAGGCCAAGAGAATGCCCAGAAAAGACACCACAAGGGATAGGAAGAAGCTGACTTTGTACAATTTCCCTGCACCCCTATCGAGGGAATACAATCCGCCCAGAATGGATCTCAGAAGGAAGTTACATAGAACTGAAAGAATTTTCCTAGGTACAACAAAACATACGGAATACCAAGCTAGTATAGTGCTATAGGATAAACACTGGACTGTAACCACAAGGTCAGCAGTTCAAATGCATCAGCCACTCCTCAGAACCCTATACAGGGTTGCTATGAGTTGGAACTGACTCAATGGCATTTAACAGCAACAGCTTATTCCTATGGCTGCCTGAGACATGCACAAAATCACTTTTTAGGGACATTTCACCATACCCGCCTCTCTCACCACCGGCCCCGTCCTATGGCCTTCCTGGAGTAAGTGGACCAAGGCAGTGTCAGAACAGTCACCTGGGCATGTGTTCCGTATGTCCATGTCCAGCATTTGATCTTTAAACCCCATTTAGCTCAAACCCGCTGAGGCAAACACAATTGTCAGATCTGGCCCTCATTAGGAAGTGCAGCTCAGTCCACTTACCTGTGATCAGGACTGCCTTGTGATGCACAGGTAGCAGCTCTTGACCAGCTAGGTAAGAATACAGGAGAGAACAGGACAGGAAGAAGAGAGTCACTCCGTAGTAAAAGGGCAAACTGAGCAGGCAAGCAGCTCCCCAGAGGCCCACCAGGTAGCTGGGTCCTCTCCCCACCTGCCTGGGGCTCTTCTCGAGTTTGCAAAGAACTGTTCCCCCCAGCGCTACAGTGACAGCCAAGTATAACCATGCTGCCACCTCAGAAAAGACAATGCCCATTGTCAGCGACTGGCAGCACCTCCACGTGCTCGGGACCAGTGACCCCAGTGGACAAAGACTGGCAGGAGGGAAGTCCGCGTTGTCTGAATGGAGAGACAAGAAGAGAAACGGTGAGAAGGGTTCTGGCTGGCTTTGAATGAGCGAGGATTAAGTATACTCATACCAGCACATAATCCCAGTGGGTAGTCTCAACTGGTGTGCACTCTGTTATAAACACCAGGCACTTCCTCTCTGAAGGTTCTCTCCACCCCCTACACATGCCATCTGCACGTAAACATATGCACAGACTCAGCACACGCACACATACTGTTTGTGAAATGACAGCTACACTTCCAGATGGTTACCACTGGCTGGGTAATCATTGACAGAAATTGAACTGAATGACAGATAGCAAAACCCCTAGCCCACAGTAAGGCAGGTCTCTCCTGCTTTAGAAGACTAAGGAGTGTCTGCTGAGTCTGTTTGGTGACCGGGGTGTGTGTGTGTGTGCACTTGCGTGCGCATGTGTGTGAAGCTAGGTGGCCTGTGGGTTTTGCAAGGTGAACTTTGGAAAGGGAGACACAGCTGATGATGCCCATGTCTTTGACCTCCTGCATCGCCATCTGAGCTAGAAAGGAGGGAATTTGCAGCGAGAGGTAGGTTCCCGGTGTGTAATGCTCTGGGAGAGAGATTAGCAATGGTAACAAAATTAATAATGGCCAACATCTCCCAGTCCTTACTGTGTGCCAAGGATGTGTTCAGCTCCTGGTTCATCCCTTCTCTTTAGTGAGACACTTTGGTGCCAGGCTCTGTTCTGAGCACTGGGATATGCACAGTCTGTCTGAAGACAGCATCCTTATGAAGTAGGCTCTATCACCATAGCAGTTTTGCAGATAAGGAAATAGAGGCACAGAGAGGTTAAGAAGCTTGCGAAGGTCACACAGCAGTTCAGTTCAGCAGTCTTACTTCAGAGCTTTATTCTTTTCACCGCTCAACTCTACCGCTCACTCTAGGCAATAACGTAAAGACAATGACTACATTGTACCTTTGCTTTTCCTTATGTTAGCCTTCCTGAAGCCTGACAAAACACTGCAAGGTGGGTATCAATATGCTTATTCTATGGAGAAGAACACTGAGGCTTGGGGAGGGTAAATGGCTATCTGAGATGTCGCACTAAGTCATGGATTCAGACGCATACTCAACAACTTATCAATTCAAAAGTCAACACTTTTGAACTGTGATCTATTAACCAACCACCATCAGCAATGTTGACAGCTCTCAAAGCCACACCCACATGCATTCACAGATAGTCTGTGAGTGTGATGGACACGGAATCTCATAAAGGCCGGGCATGGGCAAGCATGAGCATACCTAGAGAGACAAGAGCCAGATCACCGATGCCAAAATCAATCTCAGCTCCTCACGTACGATGTCATCTTAGGCAGACATGCTCACTCCCTAGTTCTCCCTCCCCTAAGAGCATCTTAATATTAAAAGCACCAAAATAAAGCACTTAGCACGTCCTTCCTGGAACAGAGTCGGTTCCGACTCGATGGCACCTGACAACAACAACAACAATGCTGGTGTGGCACTGTAGGGTAAGCCCTGAACTACTAACTACAAGACGGGCAATTCAAACTCACCATCTGCTCCTTGAGGCAGAATCAACTCGACGGTACTAAACACCAACCATGCTGGTGCTCACAGTGTTTTAAGTGGAAGAGAAATAAAGAACATGAGAAGGTTGTATAAAATGGAAGGCCAAAAGACGTGTCCCAAAACCAGTGCACTCTGAGGAGCTGAGAGAGTATTGAGGGAGGCAGGGCCTGGGAGGAAATGGAGCAACATGACCTATAAGACGGTCTGTGGAAACTGAGATAGGGCCCCAGGGTGGTACAGTTTGTACACATTGCTCTTCTAAAGGCTGACAATTCGAGCCCAGCCATTGGCAACACAGAATTAAAAGCCAGCCAGGCAATCTGCCTCTGAAAAGAAGACAGCCAAACCAACCAGATGGAGCACTTCTACTCTGAAACACAAGGGGGCGCCATCAGTCAGAATCCAGCTCAAAGGACCAACAGGCTCAGGTGGATCCTTGAGGTGCTACCTCAGGAAGTTCGCAGTGAGGATTGAGAATCCTGTGGCTCTCAGCCACACCTGCCTCCCTTCCTCCATCATCTCCACCCCACCCTGTCAGCCTGGTGCACACACCCACCTGCAGAGGAGGGCATGTCTCACAGGTCTCCTGGACTCACCACCCAGAGGACTCTGTTAGGTCGGTTCCAGCATCCACTGGTGACTTGCTGGGCATTTTCCCATGGCTTCCACAGAAGGGGACTTGACCAAGCACAGCCAGGTAGACTTCCTGCTACCTGTAATGACATTACACTGTTCCTGGGACAGCCAGCTGGCTCGTACAGTGGGCTGCTGCTCAGCCTCAGAGCTCCCAAGGACAGGGCAGAAGTCTTGAGTAAAGGCTGACGTGTGCATAGGGAAGTTGGGTTTGGTGCCATCAAGTTGGTTCTCAGCTCTGCCACTTGTTAGCTGGGTTGGTGTCACTCAATAGGGTAATTTATAGTACAGTTTCTGCATGGATCATCTCTCGTACCAGACCGTATAGAACCCTTCAGTGTATTATCAGTTTTAATCATAGAATATTATGTGACTATATATATATACAGACTTCTAAATTGCTAACATTTCTTGTTGTTGTTGTTAAGTACACTGGAGTTGGTTCCCACTTAAAGTGACCCTGCACAGGGTTTCCGAAGCTGTAAATCTTTACGGGAGTAGAAAGCCTCATCTTTCTCCCGCAGAATGGCTGGTAGTTTCAAACTGCTGACCTTGAGGTTAGCAGCCTGATTCTTAACCACTATGCTATCAGAGTCCTTTGTTGTTGTGTTGTTGTTAGGTGCCTTCAAATCGGTACCGACTCATAATGACCTTATGCACAGCAGAACAAAACACTGCC